AATTGCCTTTCCAATTCATTTTACCCTGGCACAGATATACGCGGCCCAATTGTTAATAGGCTACGGACATTTTCGGAATAGGCGCCCGACTACTAAATGATGATCACTAGTACAGAGGCGTGGCAAGAAGGGAGGGAGGGGGAGGGAAACTGGGGGGGACTGGAATTTTTATTTTCCAAGTTGGACCGTATCAGTAAGTGGGTTGTGTCTTTAGGTTCAGAAAGCACATTTCTAACTACGGAAAATTGCTATGTATGTTATGGAACTTTATTTTTACGTTTAAAAAGAGGGGGGAGGCTATTCGACATGCAGCAAAAAATCAATTGATAAACGACAATATCGTTCAGAGACCGAAGACTTATCGATCGAAAGTTAGGGGATCCCAACACAGCGCTTTTACTCCATAGTAACACCTTGTGTCTCATCACTAATTAATTAATAACTCGCTAATTATACGGCATAATTCGCCCAAAATCAATAGGCTTCTGGTCCGAGATAAGATGAATGCACATGCAAAATCTGGAGCCGATTTAATCTCGCTTTCGTGAGATATCGCGTTCATCTAACAGACAGACAAATACCTATCAACATACTTACCGATTAAAATAGATAAGTAATAATAATTATCTTTTATTATTTGTTTTATTCTATCGCGAGAAGGGCCGATAAGCAAAAATAGGATTTTCAAATTTCCGAAGAGATTTATAGATAAGATTTAATCAACCTATATATTTATATTTGTTATTCTCACGGTGTATACAATGTGTTTACTCAACCTCACTGGCTACTACGATGTCTTAGCTATCGTGCTGGTAAATATTGTACTGGTCAGCGTTCTCCGCGCATTGTTTACCAAATTACCGTTTGGCCTCGGCAATAAAAATTAATTACCTAGTTTTAATGTTTGACGTGTGAAGACGTTGATGTGCTTTAAATATTTATTGCGTTTGCTCATAACAAGGCGCGGAAGAAGCAAAGCAGATATTAAATCTATACTTGGATCTTTTGTACGAAGTCCCCTCCAGCTGTTAACTCAAAATTCTTGTTTAAAAAACTCGTTTTCTTGTTTACAAAGTATTATAATAAATTTCAAATCGGCTTAACTACGCATTTACAATTTGAAAGCGGGTTGGAAACGAATGATAATTCAAAATCAAATGTCGAGATCTCTGAGGCTTCAGGCTTCTATGTTCGGCCTTCTTTGCCTAAAGATAAATATGGCCCTGCCTCTGTGTTACAACAGAGTTAAACCAATGCTTTGATTTGCTCTGACAACGATTTCAAACCAGAACAAATTATAACACAATTTTTTTATTTCAAGCTCAGCCATGTGAATCAATCACAAGACCAAGCGTTGCTGATATTCTCGTCACAAAACTTATGCAGTAGGCCCGCTTTTTGGAGGCTGAAGCCGATAAAATATTTAACTTGAGGGTACTCCCGTAGTATGTGTACCAGGTAAAGGTAGGGCATAATTTTATTCCGATTTGCCGTATTTTGATTCCTCAGCCAAGTGAATATACTCATAGGTTTCAGTTTCTTCACACAACTTGATGTAAAGTAGGAGAACAAAATTAGTTACCTCCATATTGGGACACATACTTCTGGAGCGCCAATTTAGGTCCTTGGGATAGCACTAAATCTTGAATAATCAGATGAACGAAAATATCGGTAAGAGACCGAAGACTTATCGATCGGAAGTTAGGGGATCCCCAAAACAGCGCTCTTATTCCATAGTGACACCTCGTGTCCCATCACTAATTAATTTATAACTCGCTAATTATACGACATAATTTGCCCAAAATCGATAGGCTTTTGGTCCGAGATAAGATGAATGCACATGCAAAATCTGGAACAGATTCAATCTTGCTTTCTTTAGATATCGCGTGCATCTAACAGACAAACAAACAGACAGAAAAATACCTATCTACATACTTACCGATTAAAATCGATGAATAATTAACAAGAGCAATGCTCAAAAATATGGACACGGAGATCGCGCACTGATAACGACTTTAAGACTTTTGATAACGAATATTGCGGTAACACTCTTGCTGTTTTCAATTCTACACTAGGAGATGTTCCTAGCCCATCCAATTTGAGTGACTACCATACTAGAGAGATTATAATCGCATTTTTAAACTTATTTACTTGCCCAACGTTGAAATTCAAGGCGAGTAGTTGGTAATCCTATGTAATATCTTAACTAAGATGAATTGATCATTCTTCGAAAAGCGAATAACGCGTCGCCTTCGCGTACTGTAATGGGCCAAACACGCCAGACCATTGAATCGTGTGCAGCCATATGTATTACTGTGGCAAGAACAATTGAGAGATTACCTTCCGCCCATTTTGGAAAAGAATTGTAAAACTGAAATTATTGTATCTTATTTATTTGTCACAACTCACGCAGTAAATTGCTTTTGATCATAAGTACTTATCGATTTTAATCGGTAATTACTTATCGATTTTAATCGTTTAGTATGTTGATATTTGTCTAAAGGTATTTGTCTGTCTGTATGTATGTCTGTTTGTCTGTTAGATGCACGCGATATCTCACGAAAACGAGATTGAATCTGCTCCAGATTTTGCATGTGCATTCATCTTATCTCGGACCAGAAGCCTATTGATTTTGGGCGAATTATGTCGTATAATTAGCGAGTTATTTATTATTTAAAGATGGGACACAAGGTGTCACTATGGAGTAAGAGCGCTGTTTTTGGGAATCCCCTAACTTTCGATCGATAAATCTTCGGTCTCTGACCGATATTTTCGTTATATTATTATTTAGAAAATATGACAGAAAACTTTTTGTATCATGAACAGCCATTTTTTTCTTAGATTAAATCTCATTTAGACCCCTCAAGGCGCACGTTTTTCGGACTCGCTAGCTGTTGCGGTCTAATTTGGCAGTAGAACAGGGGTCGGCAAACTACGGCTCGGAGCAATATAATCCGGCCCGCGACGCTTCATCGAATTATATTAACAAAACAGCAGTATTGACGATTATATTCTTTACGCGACAGAATTTTGTTTTGCGACACTAAATTATATTATAACCTAACAAGTATATAATTCACGATCACTCGTTTAATGGTCCTGTAATTGATTATGATTACACAATTTGCAACAAAACGTGGAAAAGTTGATGCTAAGTGCAAATGGTTTAATGACGCCGAAAATATTCGAATGATCAGTCTTCGCGCGCTGCTTGAAATTTACCTGAAATCTGTGTGAAAAAATGTGATTTATTGGCTATTCCTTCGGTTTTTGTCTTTCTAAAAATATGTGTGGCCCGCCAATGACTTGCAACTTTTATTTTGGCCCGCGAACGATAAAAGTTTGCCGACTCCTGCAGTAGAGGTTTCGACGTTCCCGTAGTATGTGAACCAAGATGGCGGACACCGAACGTAGTATGTGTAGCAGGTTAGGGTTAGTTTTATTACGAGTTCGGGTACTAGCCAAGTTACTCCCGTAGTATTTGTACCTAAAATCATGGCCTAACCTGATACACATACTACGTTCCGGTGTCCGCCATCTTGGTTCACATACTACGGGAGTACCAAAATGTTAGCCCCGCCTTAGAAAACTATTGGTTATGCCCCTGATAGTAGCATTATTACTTATCGATTTTAATCGGTAAGTATGTTGATAGGTATTTGCCTGTTTGTTCATCTGTTTGTCTGTTAGATGTACGCGATATCTCACGAAAGCGGGGTTGAATCTGGTCCAGATTTTGCATGTGCATCCATCATATGTCGGACCAGAAACCTATTGATTTTGAATAAATTATGTCGTATAATTAGCGAGTTATTAATTAATTAGTGAGGTGTCACTATGGAGTAAGAGCGCTGTTTTGGGGATCCCCTAATATTCGATCGATAAGTCTTCGGTCTCTGACATTAGAAAACCCCTGGTTACGTTCCTGCTAGTAGCATTATTCATGTTTCATGCATTCATGCAGTGGGGCGCGATATTTCACTCCAAATTTTGACTTATTTTTGGTAAATTGACGACACGTACTTATACCAGATAGGATAGGATTTACATATTTATCCCGGGGGCTCCCGAAGTATGCGAACCAAGATGGCGGACATCGGAACGTAACATGGGTAACAGGTTAGGGTTACGCGATAATTTTTCTACAATTTTCTTTATTTTAGTCCTATTATCAGTTCGAAGACTAGCCAAGAGCCTCCCGTAGTATTTATATCTAAAATTATCGCCTAACCCTTACCTGTTACCCATATTACATTCCGATGTCCGCCATATTGGTTTGCATACTTCGGGAGCCCCTTATCCCGGGGGTGAGGACAGTTGACAAGACAGCTTAGTTATATGGCGAACCATGGCCTCTCGTCCGGTTACCATTCCAAGTCGGATATGGGATCAGTTAGCCAGTTATTCGTTTTCGGAAGCCTGGACTTGATGGTGGAGAAAGTCGCAACCGACCCGCGATTACGTGAACCACCCTACGGCGGCGAGGAGTCCAGCAATCTTCTCGCACATGATCATCCCCGCATGAGATTCGAACCTGCGATCCCACGAAGGGTAATCAGAGATGCGGCGGCAAGCGTATTCCTAATGCTCAGCACAATGCGCCACACCGCCGAGCCATTGTTTCAAATTTACCCATTCAAAAACTACTCCGATTCCAACTCCTGCTTGACTCCGATAACATTCAAAATTCAAAAACTTCGTCACCGACCTCCCGAAATTTGAAAATTCTACCATGGATGCAACTAAAAAATTCCAAACTCCTGCAACAATGCCGTGCTTGAGAGTCGCACACAATCGTTAGCTTCAACCCAAAAAGGCAAATCTTTAAAAATTTGTTTTGGAAAAATTAGAAAAAATGTATTTCGATTGGTGACTTTTCATTGATATACTTTACTGCATATTGCTCTGATCTCCCGTCTTAAGTTTCAAACAATTTCTTTTAATTCCAACATTCGCCTTTTCCTAGAAATACCCGAATTGTTGGCGTAAAACAGTTTTAAAGAGCTTGTGTTTTTTATTGCAACAGGTTTTAAAATATCACGTGACAGTGCAGTGCAAGGTAAACAAATCGTCACGACGTGTAGTTGGAAAAAGTCTACTGGAACAACAATAAAAAGTCGTCACGACGTGTAGCTAAAAATCCACCCAATAATAATTGTTAAAGTTTTAAGTATGGACACACGGGAAAATATAATCAAGCAATGGAGTCGGTTTTTATATAATCGGAACGTAAAGTTTGGTTTTTAAAAAATATTTTAAAGCTTTGAGCAATAAATGATAAAATATCTGAAAACAGCAGCTGAAAAATGTCATATATAGATCGAAAAGTGAGAACTACATAAAATACATTTCTTCTCTTGCCTTTTCTTGTTATTTTTTGTGTAACTCAGCTAGATGTCCGAAGCTGGTTATATGGTCCACCGACAAAAATCTATGACCCAATCGCTAACCTTGAGTAAAAGTACTTTTGCTGTTATTTTTGCGTTTTGGGGGGTTGAGTTCCAGTCAAACACAGGTAAATAATCTGAAACTAAATTTTTCATAACTGCAAACTGAAATTTGAATTATATTAGTGGTTGAAATGAAACTTATGTTTCAGCAACAACAATTTTTCCAGGAAGTAAGACATTTTGTAAACAAATTAATCTAATAAATGGAAAGTTCTTAGAATTTCTTCTAGAATTTCAGGTCCATCAGTGAAAAAAAAGCCAAATTTTTTATCCAAGTATTTCAAGTAACAACAATAACAATTTTTCAAAATGGCTCAAATATTTCTAAAGTTTCTAGCACCGTCTGCTACAGTAAAACTAAAACTAATCAACGTATTGCACGTTTCACTACAAAAAAAGCAAGAAATAGAATAAATTTAAAATTTATACTTCTTAAAAAAACAATTAAAAATAATGTCGAGTTTTACATGATGAGGAACAAAGTTGTGGTATTTTGATTTGGGTTGTAATTTCAAAAACATTCCAAATTTGGAGTCAAGTTTCTAAATATCCGGAATTGAAATTTTAATTTTAAAAAATCATTGTGGGATAAAAATTTAAGATAATGGTGAGAGGTGCCAAATTCATAGGATTCAGAAGGTTGTGGCTGGAGTCGAAATTTTTAATTTAAGTAGTCGAAAAATTAGGTAACTATCCGGAATCGGAATTAAAAAATTCAATCGCCAACACCTAATAAAGATAAGAAAACAGAATAGGCAACTGCTGGACTCACCAAAGAATTAAATAACAGCACAATAAATCCAAGCTATAAAAATAAAAAGCACCGCCGTAATATGTGACCTCCGGAAGCTTTTCTATTCTAGCTTATGGTTTTCAATCCTTGTTGCCAGTGGCGTACGGGATTTTGGGAGAGAACTATTGAAAAATGGAAACAATATGACGTCATTCTATGATGTCATATTTTTTCTACGTCATAGCACCTAAAAAAACAAAACGTCATAAAATGATGAACTATTTTATATTTACGTCACAGTAACAAACGTGACGTCATATTAGCCGTTGTTGTTTGTGAGAGGAAGGCGTGACCCAATAACCCTCATTATCCCGGTATAGTTCTTAAGACATTTTGATTAGTCGATGGGTGTTGGTCACATACTACACCGTAGCTAAAATATATATTAAAGGGAAATTTTGAAATCTATATTATATTATCTAAAAACAAGCAGTATCTAAAAATTGCACTGGTGCCCGATCGCGCCAAAAACAAATAAACATTAGAAATTGATTATTAACGAAAACGTCATGTTTTCGAAATTAGCAAGGGGCCTGTTCGCCTGTTTGTCGCCAGTTGGGAGAAAATTTAACACCCAGACTTGCAGAAGTACGACCGAGATCGCCACGACGATCGAATTTCGGTTGCTGTTTGAAGAAGCTCGCGGAACAGTACTCCTGAAGTATGTGAACCAAGATGGCGGACACCGGAACGTAGCATGTGTACCAGGTTAGAATTAGGCCATAATGGTCAGGGACTAGCCAAGTGACTCCCGTAGTATTTGTATCTGAAATTATGGCCTAACCCTAACCTGGTACACATACTACGTTCCGTTGTCCGCCATCTTGGTTCACATACTTCGGGAGTACACACGGAACAACAGTGTTTCTCGGCGCTCAGCTAAGCTATAATAATCCCGAAACGCCAAGCATAACAGAACTAAAACTAAAAAAAATTAAAGTCATGGAAATTTTGCGTCTTTCAATAAAAAGTTCGTGCATTTAGATGGATTGTTTCGTCACTGTATCACGTCCCAATGACGTAATACTTACGTTCAATGACGTCATGGTTTGTGGACGTGCTCTTTTACGGCATTATTTATGACGACTCAGTCCGAAGTTAGCCTGATTTGCTATTGTTGCTGAATAGTTATATTTCCGACACGGATATCCCGCCACTAGTGTTTGGATTCGTTATAGGAAGTGACGATGACTCGGAATCGGCAAATAATGGATTGTGAATTTCCATCGGCTCGTCTGTAGTCTGAAAATATAAGAGTAAGTTTATTTTAAACAGACATTTTTATTGGTGTTTGGACATGAAATGGAGACGTTTTTGTTGTTATTTGGACACTAAATGGAGACATTTGAGAAACCATTTTGAAATGATGAAAAATCATTTTTATGTCATACATAGCAATCTTTCCCAGATCGAAACGCTTTTGAGACATTCAACCACTTTGAAAACCCCCGTTTTCCGGCCTACGGTCGAACCCGCTAAGTGTTTCGATCTAACTTAGCATTCAGAACCATCTCCTTCGAAAGCTCCTGGCTACGGCCCTTACGCGTTCATACGACATTCGGTACAGTTAACATTTTATTGGAATTTTTGCAACGTTCACAACGGAGTCAACCCTTAGTCACAAAAGCAAATGTAGGAAACAATAAGTCTCGTGTGGTTAAAACGGAAATATCCAACGATTCGGATTCTGGCCACGGGCCCTAGTGTGCTAATGTCAGCCTTAGTCGTATTTCTATTTTGTATCGTCACTATGGGTCTTAAAACTCAACTTCAAAATTTTTTGGTCAGAATCAGGAGCTCTCATCGACTTACCGAAGCTAATCCAGGGCATTCATAAACAGTGTATTCTCCATCACTATTTTCCACGACTAACGCACAAAAAGATCACAAATTTTTAGTATTTGGAGATAAAAGAAATTCGCTTAAAGTCTAATATTTGTGTTTTTTCATCATCAATATTTGTTTAAACGTCGATGTTTTTCAATATTTAACGGGCACACCTTCATATGATATTCGGTACAATTAACATTTTTTTTGCTAACAACGCACTGATTGTCTTAGTAATATTGCTATTTTGTATTATCCTTATGGCTCTTTTAACTCTCATCGACTTACCGAAGCTAATCCAGGACATTCATACACAGTGTATTCTCCGTCGCTATTCTCTTCGTCATTGTCATGACCGTCTGACGACGTTATGGGGTCGTTCAATGTATCGCTTGTGCTTTGGCGTGATCGTCCACTCGTTTCGCTTGATGCGCTAGAAAACGGGGGATTACTTGTTAGTTATCTTCACATATTCTACAGCACTTTTGCATATTATGCATACGGATCCGCCGGAGCAAAAGTATAGAAGAAGAATAAGTAGTTAGTCCCGCAGAAACCGAATTACTAGTTAGTTGTTGTAAAAGATGAAATTTCTCCAAGTGAGAAGGTGATGGGTTGGGTAGGCAATGGTAAACCGAAAAGTCCAGGTCCTTTCAAAACTAGTTGCAACTTGAATATCGTTCAATATCAGTGGGCTTTAGCACAGGGGCGATTTAGTGGTGAAAAACGAGAAAAAAAATTACAAATGAGGGAGAATAAATTGGTTTCGTCAATGCGGAACCGGAAATATTATGGTCCTCCTGAATAGTGCTAGTTGAATTATGCCAGAAGTCAGTACATGGCATTGTTCAAGGGGAAAAGAGTGAGGGAGGGTCGTTCAATATAGGTTTCTTGACGGTTTGAGTGATCGTCTATTTCTAGTCTGTTTTACCGGAGTACCAGATAATATTTTTCTTGACTCGATGCGCCACATACCTGCTTATGGCTTTCAACTTTTGCTTTTGTTGTTGGTAATGGTAGACTTCAGCACTTCGATTGAGGTTTCCGTCTATCGGCTGAGAAAGACAAACAGCTTTAATACGAGTTCTAACAGTTTTCGCGGATTGCGAATGCTGAAGCAGGAGTCGCGTTTTTGAATAAATCCGGTCGGGAATTAAAATGAAATAAAACTCCCCTTCATTTGACTCAAACGGAAGTGAGTGAAACAATTTATTAGTTGCCAGATCTTTAAGCGTCGAAAATTTGAAAAATACAATCGTCCATTACTTATGGAGAATAGAGATTTGGGTACTTCCGTAGTGTGTGTACCAGGTTAGGATTGAGCCATAATTTTATTCCGATTTTCCTAATTTTGATTCTATCACGAGTTCCGGGACTGTCTGTGTTAGCCAAATGAATATACCCCCTGCCCATAGGTTTCAGTGTCTTTACAAAACTTAATGTAAAGTAGGCGAACAAAATTAGTTATCTCCATATTGGTACGCACGCTTCTAGGGCGCCGGGTTTGACAGAAGAAGAAATTGCCAACAAAAACAACTTTGCAAAATAGTCCATTACGTGTCCGAAAACTTATCAACTTACCGGTCCTTTATTATAAGACTGCCTTAGAGGATTCGGCCCTGTCACTCCATACGCTGGGTAATCGGTCTTCTCTGCTAACCTTGACATATTGTTGTTCCTGTAATATTGAAATTGTCTATGAAAGGTTCCGCCATTTCAAATCATTTCTCGAAAAATAGAGTTATTTGAAGAATATGCCGTTACTTGCGAATACGATGAATTAAATCTACTAATTATTTGGTCACAATTATAATATGAAATTATAGATGCTTGAGCTATCATTATTGCACGTTGATTGGCTAATACTTTGAGATTTCTACCGAGAAATAACCCCGTTTAGCCATTTTTATTCAAGATGTCGTCAAATCAAAAGACACAAAAACAGACATTGGCAAAGCATGAATTATTATGAATTAAAATACAAGGCTCATAGCTCAGCACAACACATTAACTGCGAATGTCGAGGATAAATAAATTCGAATTTCTATTCAGAATTTTTTTATCAGAGCCTGATATGGAAAGGAGTCTAGCGTATATACATATAGAAAGAAAAGAAATTCGAAACGTCGGCAAATTATATCGTTTTTCTAGCACCGGTCGTGCTTTATTTATCTTCGACATAAAATTACATGGTGGCAATCATGCGCTATATTTGTCTGGTCCCTTCCAGAAATATTCACAAATGCTTAATTCCGCTAACGTTTCGAATGCTCGTACATACACACCACATGAGGAAGATGAAAATATTTGTATTTTTCTTTAATTTCATACACATTTGCCAGATAGAAGACAAAAAACGGAAATAGCATTTGACATATTAGTAAAGCACATATCCTTTTTTTCTGTTGCGCATTGCTTTAAGTTTTTTTCACGTCTTTCACTACTAGCAAGGCTTTCTGTGAGCAGCCAGAAATATACAAGAATCCACTACTTACTACGACAACATTAGTAATTGCAGACGAACGACATAAAACAAACAAACAAACAAACCACACTTACGGTGTCACGTGACTATTCGGTTCACTGGTTTCTCCCATGGGTCGGTATTCATTGTGAATTAGAACACTCGAATCGGAAGTCCGATAAAAAACACGACGTGCAGCTGGAGACAAGCCCGCGTGCCTACGATCATGCAGTGTGATGAATTAGAGAGATAAAAATGCATTCAACCATGAAGTATAGAAATCACTCAGCCGTAACTAGGCAGAATTACTTTTGTGCAGACAAATTCAATTTTTGGCAAATTATATCGAAATATTTCGATGAGGTAAAATAATACTACGATATCTAAATTCGAATTTACAAATAATTTATTTAACAAATACTTTTTATGACGTCATCAATTTTTAAACACTTGCGTCCTCCAACAATTCAAAATGCCAAATTCTCCACAAGCTATGCCTGTGCAGCACAAAAAGTTTTTCCGCCTAAGTCTCGGCTAAGTTGCACAAACAACATTGAAACTACATTGAATTAGTTGGGATCAATGTCGGTGACTAATCACAGGAATACAGGGTGTTCATAAAGTCCAAAAAAAGGTTGGAAAACTGCAAATTTATCGAGACTATATATTGTTTTGGCCCTCACAGATGTATTGAATGAAATATAAATACTTAAACAATTACTGATTAAAAAGCAACACACCTGGTTAAGATATATATATTGAAAACTGACTCCATAACAAAATTGAAATTGTAAAAGGACTTTATGGACACCCTGTATTTAGGTATGATATGAGCAATTTATAGATATGTTATTGCGATAAAAATTGATCTACGCAGTAAATCTAGCCACACAAATGTTTATCACAAACGTATACCACAGCTCATTTTTGTTACACATTTACACAACAGTGAAGATAAGCAACGTAGTTTAAACCTATATATTCTTAATTAGAAGAGCGCTAAATCGAAGGTAGAGGTCCCTAAAAAATTAACCTTGCTAGGTTTGAGCAAGCTACATCTCCTTATTTGAAGTGTATGTTTGTAGTATATGTATAGACAGTTAGATAGCGCCAGGGGTCATTTGTACTGTTCTATCACCGCCTTTGCTCTTATTACTTTTAATTGGGGTAACTCTGCTTTGAGAAAACTCAAAAGTAAAGCCATAATCCTCCGTTGCTAGCATAAACCTATTCAAGGAAGCCTTGCTATGGTCTGGCGAAACATTCAAATGCCAATCATATATTTATTTCATATATATGGAGCCCCCTATCCGTCTACAAGGGGTTGGGGTTCCCCCATCCCTGCCACTAATTGTTGTCGATTAAAAATCTTTTATCAGAACTGTTCCAACTCTTAGTTCAAAAAGGAGAATTGTTTTGAACAGAAATTGCGATGGGGCTATACCCAATGGTGGGATTCAAATTTTTTGTCAGCCGGTTCCATTCATACAAAAGTCATATTTTTCAGGCGGTTCTGTTACAAAAAGTCATAATGCTAACCGGTTCGCTGATTTTATAAATTCCGTGAGACAGCTCTATAGAACCGGTGCGAACCGGCTGAATCCCACTACTGGCTATCACCTATTCCTATTACATTATTCATACAGACAAAGTCCACGAAAAGACCTTTACACAACAAAACACGCCGAAGTGAACAATTTCTCCTGAGCAGGACTTATACAGTGAGGATCAGGAGGTCAGTTATACTTGCAGCAATGGTTACACTTTAGAAGAGTGACAGACGGGATCATGCAAACCTGACATATTTTGCAATGGGGATATATTCTATTCCCATCCTTATCAGATCATTCATACAAACAGAGACTGCAAAAAAGCTTCTCACAACAAAACACGCCACTCGTGCAGAAGTTTTAATCAAATCATTCACTTACTTGTACCAGCAATACGCTCCACCGATGAACGCAATGCAGCCTACGACGCATATTGATACAACGACGGCTGAAAAACAAAAACAGAATAGAATATGTTTTTTCCTTTTATTTTATGAGAAGCGGGAGAGGAAAGCTTGTAATAGCATTAGCATTTGATACACCATGGCATCTTGTCCTGAGACAGCAAACATATGTGAGCATAAAAAATTGGTATGTATATATATATATACAGGATGTACATAAAGTCCCCTTACAATTTCAATTTTGTTATGAAGTCAGTTCCCAATATATCCTAAACGGGTTTGTTGATTTTTAATCAGTAATTGTTTAAGTATTTTTACTTCATTTAATACATCTGTGAGGGCCAAAACAATATATGGTATCGATAAATTCCCCTTAAAATTAAAAAAAATTATTAAGACTTTATGGACACCTTGTATTATTACTTGCGTATTTTTTCCAATATACTAACAGCCCAAAAAGAATAATAACAAAAGCTCAAACAGCTGCCGAGGTGAAAAAAACTAACATGATGATTCGAAATCAGATCTCAATGCCCATAACAACCGCTAGTGGGCGTCGAAGGCACGCATTCCTATCTTATTGGTGCACATTTTCTTCATTCGTCTCAACAAGCCTCAAGCACTCATTTACCCGCGTACGTGCTGATTTGGTAATTAAGCGTCGCTATGATGGCGCGAAAAGGTAATAAATAACATAATAGAAGTTCTTTTATTTCAACGTAAGTCGACGCAGAGTCGAGTTACGATGAACGCAAATGAATTAAAATGGCAGTTCGCATCGGCCATAGATTGAATATTTTACGCAGCAGAAAAATGGTTATTTGTTTTGTCGAATTTCGCAGGCGTTCCTGAATGAAACTTGATATTCCATTTGTAACTCTGAGTTTCATTTTTAACCGAATTTCCTTCAATGTGTTAGGCTGGCCAATTGTGGGGTACCATTTAAAGACGCGTTTACTGTACTACCAAATATCGGTCGACAATCACAGTAATTTTTAAATGTCTGTAGTAAAATTATATATTTATGACAGAATTGTTTTGTACTGCAGTGTCTACATATCGCCCAAACTTACAGGACAGGCTGTGGTTCGCCATATGAAGCCGCCTCACTTGCAATCCTCTCCACTAATACCCCGTAAAAAAAGATATGCTACCCGGAATCAAATTCATTTGCGACTAGTGCTAAAAGGTTGGTTGATTTTAATACTTTCACATTAAAAAAAATCGGCTATTTTAACGAGTGGCGTAATCGGGTCGCCTGTTTTAGAAGACGTTGCACGGGAATTTTCGATTTCAATTTTTGAACCTCCCTCTCCCTTAAAAATCATGGTTACGCCCCTTTCCTGCATCGATGTACTAAGTTGTTGTTATTGTGAAAAAGCGCGGTAATAATGGACTAATCAATATTATAATTTCAGTTCTTGAAGGTAGAAAAAGGCTACTTCTTTGTTTCGCTGTCAATTTTATACAGAGCCCCCGCGGCTAATGCAAAATGTGAGCGGAACGTTTTGAAATAACAAATTAGTAATTATCCATTTGGGGTTAGATGTAGGGTTAGAAATGATTTGAAAATTTGAATTCCCATGAGTGCTGAAAGCCACCAGAAGGAGGCCACGAGCTATAAAGGACTGGGAACAACTGTTATGGACTCTACCTAACTATGTTTGCAAAAAAGAGACAAGAGTTCGAAGTATGATTTCAAAATTCCCAGCGCGAACTACATTCCTATCCCTCGCCTTAACCCTAACTAGATAATTACTATTTTTGGACCTTCTGAAGTATGCGCACCAAGATGGCGCACAACCTGAACTCAGGTTGTGTACCAGGTTAGGGTTCAGGTTGTGCGACATCTTGGTGCGCATATTTCAGGAGTATCCTATTTTTTTTTATTCTAAGCGGTGCCGTGGTTGTTTTTTGGCGGGGGATTCGTACAAAAGATCCTCATTTTTATTATTCAATCTTACAAGGCCCGATAGATCGCCACACGTTTTGCGTTTTGCTAAATTGCCATTGTTGTGAAAACATCGCTTTTCAAATTATCCTCATTATTTTTATTTGGCAATAAATATATTCTGAATCCAACGTGGCTCGACATTCCAACGTGACATTTTGCTGGTTTTTATAACATCAGGCCTCGATATGATTCAGTACAATTCTTTAAACATTTATTGACATTTTGCCTAAATTGCGCGGTGATCATATTAGTCATACGTATTAACATATATTTAAGCATATCCAGTGATTTCTCAAGGGGGGCATAGTTCGTTCCCCCTAAAATTTCTTCAATTTTGAGATTTGACACCGAACTTTAATTTCTAACTTGAATAAAATCATATATGAATATCGAGAAAGCGGCGCATGTACCGATGCAAATGATCAGCCAAATACATAACACGTTTTTATAAGTTACAAATAGTTTCATCACTAATACCAAAATATCTACTACACCCTAAAGCAGGGGTGGGCAACATACGGCCCGCGGGCCGCGTCCGGCCCGCGACGAAATTTTGACCGGCCCGCTGACTGTACATCAGTTCATTATGATTTTACATTATTACAGTTTTAGTAGATTATGATAAATTCATTATGTGTTTTTTGGTCTCTATTTTTGTAAAGTTTAAACTTTACTTTAAACGCGATTTATAATTTTCGTTCATGCATTAGCGAATAAGATATTGAATACAATTCATGTTATAATCCGGCCCGCCGAGGACTTCATTTTCCCACATCTGGCCCGCCGACTAAATAAGTTGCCCATCCCTGCCCTAAAGGGAACATACTGAGTATATCTAACCCGGATGCGGGTTGAAATATTGAAAAAGAGGATAAAAAAATCGTCATACAGCCAAAATGCGACCTCGTCAGCGATGTCGAAAGCCGAGTTATGTACCATTTTTAAACTCGAAGCATCAAATATATTCTAAATTGAGACGCACTCAATAGACCGGGGTGTGCGACATTTTTTGTCAGTGTACCATATCAGACATCTGGCTTAGGGTCACCATATTTAAAGAAGGAAAATTCCGGACAGTGCATGACTATTTTCATGACCTTGTAGTACAAAATATGCGCACGGTACGAAATAACAATGTTCTGTATTAGCAGTGTTCACAGTACGATTGCAGTGCAGTAAAATTTCGGATTCCGGACATTTAAGCATTTTTTAAATTCTTCCCGGACGCAAAATTTAACCCTAAATTCCGGACATATCCGGAATTTTCCGGACGGTATGGCAACCCTAACTAGCTGGGCCGACCACCTAAATTTGGGTCTTTCTTTGTTAAGATAAAAACCTGGTCGAAAAACCGTGACCATCCTTGTAATAACTACTTACCGATGAACACTAAAGACGCGAGAGCTTGTCCCGTGTTACTTTCCCCATATGATCCAGCAGGCGTCGGAATTGTGGGCTGCTGTGTTGTTGCTGTTTTAAATTTGATTGTCGCCATCGGAATGACGGGTGTTCCTATTGAAGAATATAGTATTACGTTAGATGAATTGTTGATAGCGCGGTGGCCATGCGGTTAAGGCAGAAGTGGGCAAGGTTTTGGGACAGAAATTTTGCCCACCCAGACTGGCGGCCATCTAAGTGTGACGTAAAAAGCTACATTTTACGAACAATATTACAGTGTTACAAAAGCAAAAGTGGAAAACAAAAAGCCTCGTGCCAAAATTAAATTTAATCGCAATCTCAACAATTTACTTGAGTTATTTTTAGCTAAAACATCAAAATTTGGTTTTAGTTTGGTTGTGGCGGCATCAGACGGGCCAGATTGAATTACTCAACGGGTCGGATTTGGCCTGTAGGCAATAGTTTGCCCGTGTCAGGGTTGGAGCATTGGACTTAACTGTGTTGGCATCGCAGTTTACACATCTTGGGTTCAAATTCCAGGAGGATGTAAAAAAGTTGCTTTACGAGACTTTTTCGTCGCCAAAGCGAAAGCTTTGTGTAAAATAAATTTCAGTGAAATTTTGAGAGTTCCTTTCATATACGGGTATACACACGGTACCAGGGGGCTCGACACCTTTATCTAAAGCTCTGGGACGATTCTGGATGTTTCTCATTAGTTCATCGTCGTATGTCATGCAATGCGATATAATACATGTTTCAAGGGCCATGTAAGTGTGACGTTTAAAGTTACATTTTATAACAAATATCTACAGTGTTAAAAAAGCAAAAGTGGAAAGCAATAAGCCTCGTGCTAAAACTAAATTTAATCGCAATAACAAGAAATTTCTTGAGCTATTTTTAGCCAAAACATGAAACATGTATTATATCGCACTCGCAAGGGGCCGCTATTGAAGGATAAAAATATTACGGAATTTCTATAATTACTCTCAGATGAGGATATATACACATAGGCTTATGTCCCGTCGAAAAAATTCTATTCAATAATAATACAAAATTGTTTTTGTAATGGCGTGTGAAGTGGGGCTCAAGTGGAATTTCGCAAATCCAAAGTTTCAACTAAGTAATAAGACAGCAAATCATCCAACATGCAAACGGGAAATTGAAAACAAGATGGCGTCGATTCCGAATTTTGTTCGAACCGGACAGATATAAAATGGACAAATATGGCAGCTCAAGTAGAATTTTGCAAAGCCAATGTTTCATTGGAATAATAAGACAGCAAACCATCCAACACATATGCTTTTACGATCTCTGGCTTAGATGAATCACGATTGTAATAAACTATGCAAACAGCTGTATCAACACAGTATAGACGTCAAGTAAAATAGTCAACATCGGAAACAATAGTTGTCACTGTCTTTATGGGATTGAATTATTTTATGACGTGTTTTATAGCGAGTACTTTTTTTCTGGTTACTCCCGCAGTGTATGTACCAGGTTAGAGTATAATTTTATTCCGATTTACTTTATTTCTGTCCTGTTACGAGTTCTGGGACTGTCTGTATTAGTCAGGTGAATATACCCCCTGTCCATAGGTTGCAGTCCCTTTACACAAATTGATGTAGGATAGGCGAACAAAATTAGTTACCTCCATATTGGTACATTCACTTTTGGTGAGTTTTTTTTTATTTTGTACAAGTCTGCTTAAATCAATGCCAATCAATATATTTATTTTGGGCTCCTTTAAACAGAACCTCAGATAAATTTAAAAAATTTGTATTTGTTCGAACTTGAACTCCTGTTTGTGTTTGTACCCAAAGAATCAGAAATCTTGAATGTTTTGTTCAAAAGTTATGCTTTTTCTACAAATATGTTCCAAGTAATCTCCTTGGGGTTAGAGACCGACTCCGTTGTGCAACAACTTTAAAGCTGAAAGCAACTGTCCTAAATGGCCCGAAGTCCGAAACCAAACCTTCATCATCGGTATCTATTTAGGACGAAGTATCTTTGATCAATTATTCAAAAGGTCGTGAACTTTTTGGAGTCAGAGATAACGAGTCACAAATTTACACATAGCCGGGCATTAGTGACTTGTCTCGTTTAAAGATGATTATCTAATATTCTAATTAGAGAATTTAGTTCATGCCGGTGATGTCGGAATAACAATAATTCAATAATTCAGAAAAAATTTGATTTCGGGGTCTTCGAAAATATAAACTCCGACTCCGGTGGGTAAAAAAAGATAGAGTATTATCGAGCCTTTGAACCCAGGATGTTTTGCTTGTCAAGTAGTGGCATACCAGCCTTAAAATTCAATAGATTAGGAGCACCAATAGTAATTGAGACTATCGGATATACTAGTTAGTCATCGAATTATTGCTTGGGCGAGATCTACGCTTGTGGATAGAGCGTTTAATTGTGTTTTGTGGCTATTGAGGAACTTCACATCGACTCACTTTAATAGAGGAAATAGCATTTTCCTGTATCACACATAGCAACCCCCCCCCCCCCCCCTCAATAAAAAAACCTGGCTACGCTCTTGTATTCAAATTAACATAGTTGTAAATCACGAGCCTAACTCACCTGTGGGAGTCTGCTCCGAGTCTACATTTTGTCTTGGTTGCGGTTTGACGCTGGCAGGATTGACATTTGTCTTTCCTGAAAAAAAATATCAAAATAAATTACTGAAGCAATTTCTTCATGATCCATACAAAGTGTATTAAATAGTTTTATGCGGTTTCAGACTAACAGCCACTGAGGAGTTACTATCTCATAGTTCCCAACGGGAGACCCGTGGGACAGAGCAGTTGAGGAGCTATCGCTTAGCCTTAGCCCTGTTGTAATAACAGCACCAGGCAAAACATGTACTTTTACTACTTATGTGAGCGCCGTTTTAAACATAAACTGTCTGTTTAGGATTTTATTCTTAATGGGGAAAAAAGCTTAGCGTTAACACGGGCCACACTAAATGGCTTGGCGGGCCGTGCTGTGGCCCTGCGTGACGTTTTTTGAGCAACCCTCCGGTTCTTCCAAAATCTAGTCGTTTAAATTTATCAGTGGTTGTTCTGAATTATTGTCTGGAGATTAAGATTTGTTTTCGTCGCGAAACAAATATTGTGAATTTGAACAAAAAAATAAAATACATTGAAAACATAAAGTACAATATTTCAACTGCAATGAACGAGAGGTCGTCAGAGACTATCGAAGTCATCGAGTCAGCGGCACCATTTGCTGAGTTAGCAGCAGATGACGTCAAGCAACTTCAGACAATACGGAAGTACATTAGCATAAGTGAATCAAACACAATTTGAGATTGAAATTTGAGAAAAAATGAGAGATTCTAAGAAAATATATATACAGGGTGATAGAAAATTACGCAAAATTAAGGGAAATTATTCGTCATGGTAACGTCAAAAAGATTGACTGTCAAAAACCGTCAGTCGTGAAATCTTTGCATAGCATTTCACTTGATTTAATACTGTTAAAAAGTGTCAGTCGTTAAATGTTTTAAGTAGCATTTCATCTTAACTTCTGTTACTTTCGCGTTACTTTTTTACCACCCTGTATATATACTGACGAAAAGTGTGAACATAGCAAGTAAAGCAAGTAAAATTGGTTGCTTATCTATAAACTTGTTAGGCGTGAAGAACACGCATACAAAATAGCGCTCTAGAAGTATGTGTACCAATATGGAGGTAACTAATTTTGTTTGTCTACTTCACATCAAGTTGTGTAAAGGGACTGAAACTTATGGGTAGGGAGTATACTCACTTGGCAAACACAGACAGTCCCCGAACTCGTAATTGAACTAAAATAAGGAAAATCGGAATAAAAATATGGAGTAACCCTAACCTGCTACACACACTACGGGTTCACCTACAAAATATAACTTACCATTTTCATTCGGAGGTTCTTGTCCATTTGCTTGTATAAGTAAAGTCGAGAGGAGAAGTATAGTCCAATTCATATGAGATTTCATTTTGGCAACACAAGTCCACGAATTTTGGTTGAATTAAAAAATTCAGTTTTTTCAATCCAGATGTCTGCTCGTCGTTTCTCGTATGCTTGCTTGTTTTATGCCGTCGAGAGTGGTGAAGTGTTATTTGCCAGTCTTTATTGTAGTTAAGCTATGTCTCTTTAGAAGTGATAAAGTTAGAGTACTGTTTGTATCTTTTACACACTTATCTGTATTTCGAAATTTCTGCGTTAAATAGATCCTGGTAAGGTGTGAGAGCCTTCCCTTTTCTATTTCAGTTTATTTCACGTCTCTTTAGTAATGATAAAGTTTTGAGTCTTATTCTTTTTCACTTCACGAAATTTTTGCTCCTTCTTTGTGCCTGTTTCAGTCCGTTGATTGCGATAAATCGCAGCTTCTATTGCAGATATTTAGCGTTATACAGTCTCTTTGAAAGCAGCAGTCTGTGGTCCCAAATAACTGAATCTTTCGAAAGAATATCGCAAAAGAGTCAAATGCGTTTCTTCGGAAATGATAAAGTTTTTAACACTTTTTTACACACTCCGCACACTCTACAAAACTTTTGCAGTTTTTGTTGCAAATATGTTACGTTTTCAGTCTCCTTGAAGGCGGCAGTTTGCGGTCCAAAAGCGTTTAATCTTCGAAATAAGACACAACTGTAAATCCCAAAAGCGTCGATTTTTTTTATATTTTTCTTTGAAATCCCGATAAATTTTCGTATTTCAGTTTGTGTTACTTTAATCGACAGTTTACTCGTCTAATTTACCAGAAAAAGTCAATATAATTTTCAAAAAGTCAAAATTTTTAACATTTCCCAAAAATTTCGATCAATTTGAATAAATTCACTTCGTTGTTTTATTCCATTTATCGGCGCTCAGTATTCATTGTCGGTCCAACCTTCTTGTTGTCGTGAAGTCATGAAATATGCATGTCCATATTCCTTAATGCGCTAAATATCTCGCTTTTAATCTTTAAATTATAAATAACTGAAATGAGTAAAATTAACATGGATTTTGAAGTCAATACACAAAAATGTCGTCCATCTTGCACGGATTTTTCTTGTTTTTTCCTATTTAATGACAGGTATTCACGACTTTAGCCCTGTGCAAGCAGTTTTAAATATCTAACTGCATAAGGAGAGCTGCTTTAATCTTATTCTATTCATCTTTTAATCTAGTTTCTAACACTAAGCAGCGAACGTTTTGAAGTTCTTCAGCTGTGGTTCGCAAGCTTTTATGGCTCCGCCCTTCTTTCCAGAGGCTTCCAGCACCCATGGCCTCCTGGTTACCATTCCAGTGGTATTTATAGTGTTATTTGAATTGGTAGATTCTAAATCCCATTACGTTCAAACAATCCATGCTCAACAAAATAAAAACACACCGTGAAATAGCCTTATCAAACAATGAAACTAGGAAGGGAATAGAGTTTTCCTTCTAAAAGGAAAAGTGAAGTCGTTTTGCGCCTAGCATTGTGCTAGCTATGCTTCTTTCGTATAAAATAAATAGACAGTCGAAAAACTGGCAAAATTATATCAATCGCTTCTCACCAGTTACATATTTTACTATGAATAATCCGTATAGTAACCGATCAAACTTCGCGAAAGGTCCCTTATTCATTTCAATACGATAGCCTTTAATTTCCACCTTCGTGCGTTGCCTTATTCAACGTAATTGTAATTATACTTTCACGCACACTGCTTTCTTAATTCATAACACAATGGTCATACGATCTCTTGCTATTAGGGCCGGGTCATGACTTCATAGGCCCTAAGCCAGAAGCGAGCAAAAATTACTTTTCTGAGTGGTCCAGTTATATATAATAATCTTGGTTACTGGACTAAAGGCGCAAAACTCAATGAGAAAAACTAAGAATGAAACACAATTTATTTACAAAAGCTAGACTAATAAGAAGCACAATGTAACAAGTAACGTTATTTTCATCAATATCTCCAACAGCAATTTATATTTATAAAACTATAGTCGTAATTCAGCAGAAACAACAAGTGGACCGGATAAAATACTCTACCCTAAGAACTCAAGATCTTGATGCTTGTAATAAAAAAAAAATAAAATAATGAAACTAGTGTTCCAACACATACTCGAGTTTGATACAAAAGAGAACCGTTCTCAAAGATTTGAATCCCATTACGGCTTATATACGATTTACAATCTAACTCCGGCGCTTATTAGAAAATAGGTTAGTTGAACACCATCGACCGATACTGCTATTGGTTGGTGTAGCAAGCGTGAGGCGATTCGTTTACGTTTACGAGATGACGGTATGTAGTGACATAAAAAAAAAACGTATCAAATTAAACGTATTGAAATCCTGACGTAGTCATAAAATGCGATGTCATATAGGTGCATTTGTTACATAGCTTATTTCGAGACACACATACGTTTTCTGATACGAGGGAAGTAGGGAACCCGTTTCTAATGAGAACTAATAGTGCTCCAGAAGTATGCGCACCAAGATGTCGCACAACCTGAATCCTAACCGGTACACACATACTATGTTTAGGTTGTGCGCCATCTTGGTGCGCATAGAGGTCCGAACTAATTCTAGTGGGAATTCCGTTCTTACAATTTTGAATCACCACTGATCGTAAACCACCGATAATGTGCGAAACAAACGAAGTGAACCCATGGAAACCACGCCACAATTACCATAAGTCGACACTGAGATTTGCGCGAATCAATTAATTTTGAATATCCATTTGAATACAATAGCTTCATCGCTACGCACATAGTGTTCTCTATTCAGGCATTGAATACTTGTAATATGTTGTTATAGTAATGTGATATGTATTGTATTGTTTACTCAAACGCGAGTTGTTTAGCAGGTGGTATTCACATCAGTTTCCGAACTATTTCAAAATCCGGATGTTGACTACGGATAGACAATTTGATTCCGACATTAGCTTTTAACTAGTGAGAAAAAACAGACATTTTATATTAAAAGAGAGGTGTGAAGTCGGAGGTGTTACATCGGCCTCCGAGCTATTCAAAAAATGCGCTTCACTCCGGATAGACAAAAATCGACTCCGACATCATCTCCTAACTCTGATATAACGAAATTTTTACCACAATTTGCAACCTAATCGAGTGCCAGTCTTTATATGTTTGATTTCGAAATTCATACTCGCGAATTTTGGAAGCTCGAAAAATGATTCTATAATATTCTGAGTTATAAATTTATACTTCGACTCCGATGGATTTAAAAATAGCACTCCGACCACAACACCCGCTCAATGCTGGAAAACCGACTCTTGATTATAAAAAGTTGAGGGTTAAATACCTCCTACAACCCCCAAGAGAGTGAACACTTCCACTAAAATTTCAAGGTGTGACACCGCACTCTAATTACTAACTTGAATAAAATTGTATATCCAGAAAGTGGATTATACGCCAATGCAGATGATCGATCAAATACATAACACAAGTTACAAATAGTTTAATCGGCAATAGCAAAATATCGGTGACCGTACATTTGAACCCATGTACATTTGAGCCCATTCTTATATCCACGGGTTCAATCTATATGCGGGTGCTAAAACCCATGGGTTAGGGTTAGTATGGGTTTAACTATCCGTGAAATAAAAAAAAATTCCATAGGTGCAATAGCATACAGGTACAATTGTCATGGGTTCAAATGTACGTGGGTTCAAATGTAATGGAACCCAAAATATCCATCACCCCTTTAATGTGAAAACAACCTCTTAAAGTAAAAAGCTGGGGATATACTGGTCTGGCCGGTATGAAAACTGAGAATCTATAATCAAATATCTAACATGAATATTTTATGCTGTCAAACGATACCACAATACAAGAAAACAAGCTTAATGTGCAAGAGGATTACTGGACTAGACGTCGAACTGGACCCAAGCTAAAAATCCGTAGTTTGACACAAGATTAAGCCGCCTTGCCGCAGGGCTGGATTAACCATTAAAAGCAGAATAAGCACGTGCTTAGGGCACCAAGGAAAAAGGGCATCACAGAAAATCGGATTTTCAATCGCGCATTAGTGTTTTATCAAATAATTCGAGTTGGTCAGACGGTCAAGATTTCAATATTGGCCCGTTTGGTAGATATTTGCTTACTTTTCTTCCTGAAATAGAATTAATCATAACTTGGCTTTCAATACTGAAACTTACTGTTTTCAACTTCAGATAACATAAAAAACTGGTTATATTTTTGTTGTTATTGATTTTTTTTATCTGTAGGGCACCAAGTCTCAGCTGCTTAAGACCCCTAAATCAATCAATCAATCATCATTTATTCGTCAACACAATTTAAACATGGTACGATATATGAAAAAATATTACAAATACAAGTGGAAACTAACTTAAATTGTGTGACAGGAGTCGCGAGGGCCATGATCCGGCCCTGACTATACACACGTCGAACTGATATCCTGATATCCGTGGTTCGCCACTTGGAGCTAATCTGAACTAAATATAACGGTATTTACCTCTCTAAGTCAAAATATTGGCGCACTATTGAAAACGCTTGTTTGACGCCTCAGGTAGTACGCGAAACTTAACTTTTTACATATTCTTTTATTTCGTTTAAATTCTATATAAACTCCTTAGTATTACCTATCTCATGATGTGTTAAGTCAACGATACCTCCAGCATACAACAATAAAAACAGCGTGACAGATATGAGTATAGTATTACATTTCGTATGCTTCTAGTATTCAAGCCCGGGCGAAAAATAAAACACGTCATAAGAGTCGACCGCTTTAGATATGCATATGATATAAATACAATTCGCTGTACGTATCATAAGAGCCCTTGAAAAAACGGTGAAAACACAAAAAAGTTACTTGTATTTTGCTGTAAATATTTCACAATTTTTTTCAAAATACAATTTGAAAGTTCGTGTTGTGACAAATAACTTTCAAAATTCGCGTCGTGGCAAATCCCTTCGGAAATTCACGTTGCGACGAATCTTTCCAAAACTCAAAGTTGTGGCGAAAATATTCTGAAAATCTGCGTTGTGGCAAATCTATTCGAAAATTTGCGTTATGGAACTCGAACAATGACAGTGTAATAAATTGTGTAGGCGATGCCGAAGTGGAAAGATTCCCGATTTCCCAATAAATAGCATATCTTCTCTTAGTATATGAACCAAGATGGCGGACACCGGAACGTAGTATGTGTACCAGGTTAGAGTTAGGCCATAATTTCAGGTACAAATACTACGGGAGTCATTTGGCTAG